GAGATATTCTCCTAGAACTTTGTCACCAATAAAATCAGTAATAATATTTTTTCCATACTGTTGAAATGTTGATTTAAGAACTAAGATAGTCCAATACTTCTTCTCTGACTTCTGCACTAAATATGCCCACTAGTTTCAAATATATTCATTAAGCCTTTCATTCTCACTACAGATTACGTTCTTTATATGCCAGAAAATCAGATCCATAATTTCTTTATTAATTTCTGGTGCTGGCTTAGCAAAAAATCCTAGCAAAAAGTTAAAGAAATCTGTAGCCAGTTGAGGAACGTTTATGGGATATAGAAGGAAATCAAAATCTTCATAAACTATTAGACCTTTAATAACTGCCTAGTCTATTAATGATTTTAACTTTACCACTTCACCCCACTATTCGATTATTTTAATCTCAAACTTAACAATCTTTAACTCAAATCCTATACCAAAATAAAGCCCATTTTTCAAATCTTTATATTTTATTAACCATACTGGTTTATCTTTTGGAATATGGGCAACCATTACTTGAATAGCTTCATATACTTCAGTACGAGAGAATTTCTTACCTGAAGTACACATACATATTAAATTCCACTATACAAAATGATTATTCAGGTTTGAAATTCTAGATTGCTCTAATCTTACTGGAGCTGAAAGGTTTTTTTCTTGCTCAAAGCTGTCTCACTAGGAGCAAGTTTTATTGAAAGCTTTCTTTCCTTGGGTAGCGTTTCCTAGTCTGCACAGTAACAGTAAAAATTATAAAATATTTTATATCGTCTGATATATGCATTTTCACTAGTATATTCCCGATCACATAATGAATAATATGATGAGGCTATACGTTTGAGGTAAAAAATGTCAGGAGAATCATCTAATAGAAATGAAAGGTTGAACCCTTTAATACTAGCTTCTCTAAGTAATTTCTCAACCAATTCTAATTTGACTTCTGTTGCATTAACGCCCATACTAGTATGACATATACTTTTTGACTTTGGAATGGCTAAGAGAGGACTATTCTCAATGACTTCTGATTCATCATTGGGTGGGCAAATCATGAAGTCAAAGATAGATCCATCTTTTGAATGTATAGCTTTTTTTACTATTACATGAATGTTAGTTTTTTTATCAAACTCAGGTGTTTCAAGCATTCGCAAGGAAAATGATCATTTATTTGCTATGTTATCAATAATACTATTCTCCTGAAGAGATGCTGGAAGTTTCTTATGAACAAGTTTAATGAATTTTGTAACCTAAGTGATGTTTGGAAGTCTCATACTGAAAGTTGAGACATGGAGAGATATTTTTTTCACATCACTACTATCGGCAATGGATATAGTTTTTTTATCACATTTTGAGAATACTTCTAGACAAACATTCCTAAAAGCATTATAAAGTATGTTTTTAGCCTGCTTTTCTGATAACTTTGGAGAAATAGCATTTAGCGTTTCTATTGGCAAATCAAAATCTATGATAGGCCGGAATGGCTTATTTTTATCAATAAATTTATGTAAGAAATGGCCTTCATAATCAGAGAGTATAGCTTCTATTTCATCTGCATTATCTGTGCCTAGAAAATGCCTTGGCCTAATACTATCATCACAAATTTTATATAAGCATTCGCCAATATCTTCAGCTTTAAAACCTTGTTTGTATAGGACAGGAGTATCGAGAAACTCTGAAAGCTCTGATTGGGTCATGATATTATTTCACAAATATACAGTTCGAGAGAAAGTATATATTCCGGAAGAAAAAAGTTTAAAATGAAAATTAATTCCGAAATATATAAATCGATACATAAATCAATTATTCATAGTTATTAAAAATAGTATTTTATCAATGTACTTATATTCATATGAGTGGTGAGATTTGCAATCAGGGATGCTATCATCTGAAAGGATGTCATATTTATCATAATTTTTCTTCTCAGGTATCTTGCAATAAATATGGATGCCATAAATTAGCTTATGGCAGATATGGATTTTGTGATATTTATACTAGAAAGCACTGTAAAAGGGAACAATATCATCAGAAAAAGCTGGCTGATTTGGCTTCAATGCAGGAAGCAATAGGTAAATAGATGAAAATAGAAGCGATACAAAATAATACAACTTAGCATGAGTATCAATAGAAAAAAGCTGGTGACAGAACTGGTGACACAAATGATAGTCTTTTTGGGAATTCTAGGCTGAAAGAAAGTTTTCTTGATAGATAATACCAGTGTCACTAATGTCATTGGAAAAAATCTGAAGTTCTCGCTTATATTTTTATTTTTGTCATGAAAAATTCCTATGATATATCATACATATACTATACCATAATATATATATATCATAAAAGATAACATAGAAAAATTTGATTTTTTTTCTAGAATTTATTACTCTTTTACTAGTGACTTTAGTGACAGTAATCAAAAAAGAAATGAAATAGCCTAATAATCTCAAAGAGCATAACAAAGGTATTACCAGTTCTGTTACCAATTAGTATTCAGAACTATTGACACTGGTGACACTATATAGGATCCATAAATTATCATTATATACTCTAAGAATAGCCAAAATTATGCCATAGTGTTAGCTAAAATTAATAATGAATATGATTACATTGCGAATTTCTAATATTGAAAATACATAAAAAATAATTATTCTAAAGTAAATATAGCAACAATGAAATCTGAAAATTATTTATTAAAATGCCAAATCTCTGATATGCAATTTGAACTTACGTTAACTCGCAAGGTTTTAAATATGCAATTGGAAATAGATTCATTAAAAGAACAAGTTAATGAGCTTAAAAATGAAAATACTAGACTTAAAAATGTGACTAGCTGTCAGGAGATTGAAAAGCAGAATAAAATAGTAAGTTCTAGTAAAGTGTCTTATTCTAATACTGATCAATTCATAATCGATTATATTTCAACATGGCCTGAAGACATTCTTTGTAAATAAATATATTGCGCTACTTTATATCAGGATTATCTTGCTTGGTATGAAAAAAATAATGAGCAAGCATTAAGTAATAATTATCTTGGTAAAAATACTCACAAATAAATATTGACAAGAGTAAGTGATGGCAATAGAAAATGGCAATATAAATTAGACCGATCTAAAATCATGAGTAAGATACATGGTATAACTGATAGTTACTAATATACTCAAATTGCAATAAATTATGATGATCTAACAAATTTCGACCAGCATTATTATATAAATTTGGCCAGAACTTTAGATATAATAATTCGTCACCCAAGCTGACATAAAACTAGCAAATTAATAGAACCTTCCAGGCATCCTGCCAGTTCCATGACAATTTCAGGAGAGTTCTATAACACTACCAGAATGCTATCACAACGCTATCATGATACCAAATTGAATCCTCAAATCACATGTGCAAAAGATCGACTAGTGTTATATTATAGAGCTGGCTAAAATTAATTGCAAATTTACCGCACCACCCATCGCCTCTTTTTTACACCATTTCAGTATTTTAAAAGGCAACTAAATAGGTGTAAAGGGTAAGCATCGCAATATGAAATCTAGCATCCATTCAGATGCAGAAGGCCAGAATCCTCAACAAAGAATCAGACATTCAAGGATAGAAAGCCAATACCAACAATGTAGAATTTAATATGTAAACAAATCAGGAACAAAAAGAAAGTAGTCACAATTAGATTATGATATCACCATTAATTTAAAGTAAGATCATCTACCGTTAGACTATGAAATCACCACCATATTATACAGGAAACAATTAAAATAATGCTATAAATATAAAGTAGCTACCCATAAGTAGATTATTAAGTCACTATTAGATTACGAATAGTAGGTTATGAAGTTATAACCAGATCATAAATTTAGATTATGAAATCACTATTATATTATGAAGTTACTGGCAAACTATTAAGTTACCATTATATTATGAAGTTACCAGCAGACTATAAAGTTACTATTATATTATGAAGTTACCTTCATATTCTAACGCAAGTCACATGTGACTGAACTAAAAGACTACCTATTTATATAAAATATATTACATAGAAAGATAAAACTGATATATTATAGATCTAATTTATCATATATAGCAAATATATAGTATCTAATATATCGAATATGTATAATTTATCAACTATATCTAATATGTTGATCATATCAGATACAGTGTGTAATGAAAAAATGGCGGTGACAAAAAATGGCATAACTTAAAATCTACACATCCGATTTGGATGAATTTATATTGGTTTAAAAGCCGATCAATTCCTTTATTAGACAAAAAAATTTCAATACGATATTCTATTGCCGTTTTTCTCCAAAACCATTTCACATCTGGTTTTCATGGATATTACTAAATTATTCATCATTGACTGAGGGATTGCATCCCATTCTTCAACCATAAATTTGGTTAATTCACTAATATTTTGAGGCATCCTTTTTTCTACATTATCTTTGATGATTGTCCACATATTTTCAATAGGGTTAAAGTCTGGGCTATTGGATGGCCAATCAATTATGCAGATCGAATTTTCAGTAATGAAATTCTTTGCAACACGTGATGTGTGCTTCAGATCATTATCTTGTTGCAGGCGCTAGTTTCTTCTATACATGCTTCTTGCAGCAGGTAGAAGCTGGTCTTGCAATATACTCACATAAAATGGTCCATCCATAATATTAGTAAAATAAAAAAAGGGTGTTTTTTCCTTTTTTGAAATCCCTCCCCATGCCATCACTTTTTGGCGAGATTTTGGCAACCTTCGGATAGGTCTTTCACCATTTTTATACCATCTACTGACTTTATTTCGAAAAAGGTCAAATGCTGTTTCATCAGTGAATATGGTTTGATTCTAATTATCATTTAAATGTGCTTGTGCCTATGCTATTCTCATTTTAATATGCCGATTTGTAAGCATTGGAGTTGCTAATGCGACAGAACTTTCATACCCTTTTTTTTATATTTCTCCAAATAGACATGTGTGAAATAGAAATATCATAGGTATCTTCTATTTTTGTAGCAAGTTAGCAGGTCGAAACTGCAGTATTTTTGTGCACATGTTGCCCAATAGCCTGAGAAATGTCTTGTGTAACCTTCGATTTCCGACCATTATTACACTGATGATTAACATCACCTGTTTCTCTAAGCTTTTTAAGATTACGCTCAATAGAATAAAGGGGAATACTAGTTTTTTTTTGTATTTCCTTTGCTAACTTAATGGCATTAAGCCAGTAATGTCGAATTGTTTGCTTTTGAGCTTCTAACCTTGCACTAACCATCTTTGCAAAGAAAAAACACAAAAAAAAACAAAGGTAAACAAAAATTTACTTATAAAATCACGTTTTTCTAAATTTGGAAATATTAAATTAATGTTTTATTTATGATCGACATTATATAATTTTATAATTTATTTGCAAAAAAAAATTATTTTATTGACCGCCGTTTTTTTCATTACACACTGTATATCATATATGTTAAGAATGTTAGATATGTCAAAAATGTTAGATATATCAGATTTGTCAGATTTGCATCATATATACTGTGTAATATTTATAATATTTATCCATTCACATTATCAATTTTATATATTTATATATATAATATATACTCATATTTTGCCAAATTTTTATTAATAAAATGATCAAATTTAATTAATTTAAAATTTTTTGATATTAATAAAAATTTTTTTTTAATTAAATATTAATATTTTATTGAATTTTATTTATATATATTATTATTTAACTATATATTTTTGATAAAAATTTTAATTTATTCTTAAGAAATTAATCAAGTTTTCTATTTACAAGTCTTTTAAGATTAAAAGTTAGAGTTAAAGGTACTTATTTAAATTCTTTTAAAATAATATAATTAGTTTTAGTAGGAATTTAATAAAAAGTTAATATTTTTACTATAATTGTTTAAATTTTTGACAAATTTTGCTAAATTTTTAATAAGAATTTAATATAGTTTTATTAAGTTTCAGCATTTCAACATTTTATTAAGAAAAAAATCATTTACTAACTTTAATTATATCTTATTTAACTAATAAGATGGATTATCATTCAAAAGCATTTGTTTTAGTCCTAAAATATCTAATAGCATATCTTATATCTAAGTAACTAATTTATTTTGATAATTGTTTATGTATTTATAAATAAATATATTATTAATATTTATTGTAATAAGTGTAATAAGTTCAAATAATCATATATGTAAAGAAAATTAAATAATTAAAATAGTAATTTATTGGCTTCAAATCATTTTTATTGATAATGATTTGGTTATTTTGTAATAAAATTTGAGATATTTCTATTTTATAAAATATAATAAACTTTTAGGTTTTTTAATATTTATGAATTTTAAACTTTTAAAAAAGTTCTCACATATTTAAAATTAATTTAGCTCTTTCTAAAGAATTAAAATAACATATAAATTTATCATCATTAAAAGAATAATTTAATTTATATATGATATGATATAATGTTTATATTAAATATTCTACTAATAATTAATTTAAAATTTTTTAATTAGTTGTAACTATTTATATTAAAATAAATTTTGCAAGAAATTGCAACCAGTTGCAACTCAAGTTACAACTTCTTAATTACAGTATTAACTTTATATTCTACACAAAAAAAAGGAAGATTGACTAAAAATTATCAATTGTATAATGTAGTAATTTTATAGTATCTCTCAGACTTTTCATTAAAAAAAAAATTTTTTTTTAGATTTTATTTAAGCTGAAATACATGTTTTAGAATTTTTTTTTTATATATTTAATTGTAATATATACAGTATTTTAATGATATGTCATATATGATTTTTACCTACCTGATAATATTTTTTGTAAAAAGTAATTGTCATTCTAAAAATTTCTTAATACAGATTTCTTTCAGCTTATAAGATATTGTTGTATATCAGGAATATTTTTAATGTGAAGTATTATATAAGATTTATAGTTTGTAAATTTATGGGTGTATTACGACATAAGTTTATGTAAAATTTACATTTTTGATGTAATTCTTCGTAAGATTTACGATCTGTGACATTTACGCTATATTACGGTCGAAATACTTTGAACGATTTATGGTCTATAAAGTTTGCATAACACTATGATCAAAATACTTCAAAATATTTACAGTCTATAATATTTGCGTAATACTACAATCAAAATACTTACGGTCTATAAAGTTTGCGTAAAATGACAGTTGAAGTACTTCGAAAGTTTTAAGTAAGGATGGGTCCGCAAATAGGCAATTGCGGAATAATTGCGATTTACGATATTGCGGACAATTGCGGAAATTAAGG